TGGATTCCTTGAAGAGCTTCAAACTGGTATGTTTAATCCAGTAAATTAATTGCGGCATCTGACATAGCAGACACTCAGATTAGGCTTTTTAAAAATGGAGGAAAAGACATGTGAATTTCAAGTGGTCTTTATCCTAAGATATCCAAGACACTTGTAATGCTTCCCCCCCAATCGCGCTCGCCGCCCCAGCCAAAATCCTTATTTTACTTGATAGAACTGTTTTTCACATTTTTAAATCTATAAACCCACAATTTATTTGTTTGAAAAAGCTTTTGCTAAAAAGCTGTTTGTACTTGAAGTATTGGTAGCGTAGGTTAGATGTGGAAACTGTCTTTCAGCTGGCAAAGTGTCTGATTTGATAAAAATATTTGTAAAAGCAGGATTATTTTATAAATCTAACCACATGGAGAACATGCTACAATGTTAATTGTATTTACATATAATTGTTTTTCACGTTCCCAAGCAGCTGCTTGCCAGCTCCATTCAGCACATACCTAAAATCTAGGGTTTCTTTAATCATTACATGCAGCTCTCCAGTCTGCAGTAAAGATGCCTTGTTATTTACGGTTAATGTCAGACAAGTGCTTTTGTCTTTCTTGAACTAGATGTTTTAAAAAAAAAAAATCACTGAAGGTAAGCCAAACTTACCAAATTTTGCATTTGCTGTCTACTTGGCATGTAAACGACTACCCAGGGAGTGGGAAAAAAGGGATGTTTTGGCTTCTAAGATGGCGATCGTTAATGTGTCTCATCATTACAGCAGCTAAATGAACACCCCCCCCACCCGCCCCCCGATTGCCATCTCTTTGAGAGTCCTTGTAACTGTCTGCTCTACAAAAGCCTAGTTGAGGTCCTTGATAGTGAGAGCCAGCCTTGGCAAACCCAGTGATTTTTTTTTAGAAGAATTTCAAAGAATGCTTCATGCAGTCCCATGAGAAATTGTAAGTGTACAATGTTATGGCAGTAGTTGGTGCTACATGTGCTGAATGGGTTGGACCTTTTCAAGAGTTTCTGAAGCAGCCAGGATGTTTCCAGAGAGTGTCACTGTACTGAATACTAACTGTAAATGGTTTTCTTGCAAATTATTTTAGCTGAAGTTTTGAGTTTCATTTCTTTGTAAATAAAAAACTTCCTATTTTTAAGCCAGGAAAAAAGTTTTGGTGAGGTGAATCGTATGGAAAAAAGCAGGTTTAAATCGTAGCTCTAAGTGATACGTTCAGTCTTTTATTAAACGTAAAATTACATGGGGAGTGAGAAGTAGAAAGCTGGGATATTACCTTTTATTTAGGTCTAGGATTTCAAGATTCATTAGGATTGGTTTGTGGCTATGGAGGTTTAATATCTATATTAGTTTTTCTGCTGAGGATCTTACAAATCAGTGAGGAAATAAAGTATTTGGGTACTGGGTTTGATACCGTTCTCAGAAATCCCAGCTCCGCCAGTGGGAGATCGTCGATCTTGTTGCACAACAGACAGGCAGTATCTTCCATCTGGTAAGGCTGCTCCCTCTTTCTGCTCTGGGCTGCTGCTTGAGGGAAGCTGAAATCTCACAATTTCCGACCTGGAAAAGAAGGGCAAAGTAAAGTGGACTTGTAGGAAATTAGAAAACCCAAGATGAATGTGCACAGTGTAGCACATGAATGACTTTGAATGAAATTTTTCAGACTTGCTATGGACGAACAGGGGTATCTACCTTCAGTGCCTGCAAAATCAACCCCCAAGGGCTACATTCAGTTGCTTCACTAAGAATCAAATGAAGGTGGATTTCAGCTGTTCTTTAGGTAATAAGAACTAAACATTACTTATAGCTTTTCATTCAGGTCAAAGACATTTAGAAATTATATATGGAAGCAGTCTACTCTGGCCATAAACTCTCTTCTCCACTGACAGTGATATGGCAGTGCATGCTTCATTTTTATCATGGGCATCATAACACCATAGCTAGGGAAGAAAGTCTTGCATCTGGTCACTTAGACTGGTACTCAGACTTAGAAATGTCTGGGAGTTTTGATCCAAGTCTTCTGAGTACTGGAGATGAAACAGTGTCAGAGACTGAAAAGTCAAAAAGAATGACACATAAACAGACTGACACATCTGAAAACCAGTGAGTTACAGGTTAGAATCATCTCAGCAATGGGCTTCTGAATTGCTGACAATCTCATTTGAAATTACGTATTTTTGAGTGGAATGTAGAGGATGTTACATCTGTGTGTTTTAAAGGAAACAGCTTTCAAGGAATGGTACACAGGACAAACGATGTAACTGATGAATGTGAGTCATTGAACTTGCCAAAAAATATATTTTGAAAAAAATAATTTAATTCAATGAAGGACAATGATTGTTCAGACTGAGGAACCTACAGTTACCTAAATGGACAGCACTGGGGGAGTACTTTCAAGGAAATTCAGGGTAGCACATGTTAGAGGGAAAATCCAGAATGTATTTATATGTAGTTGGGTTGAAAATGTTCTAACCCAATCAAGAAAAGACCAGAGCATGTAAGACAGTACAAGTCATTCTTTGTAGTAAGATGGAAACTCTTACTGTAGATGAAACAAAATCTAATAAAATACTACATTTTGGAAAGAATGGGAATGGAATGAGAAATGATAGTCATGATGAGTCCATTGGAGCCACTACTCTCTCTTTGGAATGCATTTGGTTTGGTTCAGTTTGGCTCTCCTACCTGCTGTTTCATAGCCATGTACTAAAAGACAGTGTTGCTATTTTAGAGGAAATAAAACAATGGAAGTATGCAATCTAGTTGACAAAGAAAATTAATTCAGACACTCCTATTTACGTAAAAATAGTAAATAGGGTCTATGAAATTGAAAGGCAACGCATAATACTGAATTTATTTTAGGAGTCTTATCTTTAGGAGTCTTATCTCCTTAATATGGAACTTAATTCCAGAAAATGTTACTGAAATCAGAGCTATGAAGAATTTAAGAAATTCCACTCTTAGTGTAGTGAGAAACTCATGGTTACATTGGATAAATGGAAATTTGGCATATTGGTCCACACATGTAAGGCTTATATCAAATGTTCTCTGAGGTAGGAATAAGCTACTTCTCGGGTATGGGGCTAACTGAACGCCAAGTCCACTCCATTACAGGCTTGTGTACATTACACATGTATGTTGTGTAATGTCATATTATACATTTCCTATAGAGTACATTTCCATTGCTTCCTTTTTTACTATTTGGAAAACAGTTTACTTTCAATAGTTACATCAGGATATTTTCCTATTTAGACTGTATAATAACACGTTTATACTTTCCCAGTAGGAGCTGTCATGTAGTTCACAAAAAGTCTATATGCAGAAAAAAGCAAACAAAATTCAGGAGTTTTATAGTAAATTAAGTTCCCTCCAAATTCATCCTAAGATCAGTTTTGGTCTGGTGAGTATTGAATATTCCTTGTCCTGAATGCATTAAATACTCATCAACAAAAAGTGAGAGTTAAAACCCTGGGCAAATTGGTCTTACTGAAACAAGTTGTACAACATGATCTTTTGGTATAAATCTTCTAAATACTTCCTGCCTGGAAATTCAGCTACTGCTAGAAACAGGACTTTACATGTAGTAACAGAAAAGCTGATGCCAAGTTGGAGCTAAGTATTGCAGAGAGCTTTTGTTTAATCTAACACAGCTGCTGTCAGTTTCTGAAGAACCACACCAATATTAGTTCCCCTGTTGCTTGTGAAAGTATACTAAATAAATAAGATCATGAATTTAACAACAACAACAAAAGTTAGTATTAAAAAATCTCTGTAGGGACAGAAGCTGAGGTGAACCATGCTTAGGAACCAGCACTTCTTTTACCCCTTGAGTAGAGCTCACTGCATAAAAACTAATGACATATTTTGTTTACAATTTATGGTATTATTTAGGTTAGCAAGAATTGGATTTCCTATAAAGTTAAGGGAAATAGCAGTTTCCAGAGTGGAGCCTAGCTAGTCATTTGGCTTCATTAGTTCTGGAAAAAATTATTGTGAAGTAGTGCACAAACAAAAAGCAGTGTTAAGCTTGGGCATTCAAAATGGGGGCTCCTGGGAGCATCGCAGAGCTTTAGTGTTCTGGACAGTTACTGTGGAATATAGTAGTATTTTCTTTCACAACAACATTACATTTCACTTTTCTGAAATGTGCTAATTTCCTTCATTTTAAGACAAAAGTATTTTGGGGTCTGGTACTCAATAAGAATCCTTTACAATTTCTTGAGGACTCTAGCTGATATTGTGCAGACTGTTCTCTTAGTTTTGAGCTGCAGTATAATTTAGATCTGTGTGGATTTCGGAGATTTCAGAGTTAGTTCACATAATACTGTTAACATTTCAGTGAATATTCATTGTAGTCTCAAAGTTGATTAAGATTTTAACCCATAAAACATTGGGAATATTCCAGTATCATGAAAATATTTTCTAGCAAAAGTGGGTAAATGCTGTGATGTTTAATGGGAGATCTGCTGGTGGTATTAACTCCTTGCATCTGGCAGCCTTGTTTTAATTTAGCTTGCAGTCCAAGGAACATTAAGAAGTTTGGTGTGGGAAAAAAAACGAGGGGGAAAAAACACACAAACAAACCCAAAACAAAAACCACAATCCTTCCCATATAATTCAGGAGTTAGAATAGCAGACACCCTCTACTTAGATGAGATTCAAGACAGACCTAAATAATAGCTTTCACTTCTCTGTAGTACTTGTAAGGGAACTTTTAATTAGTTGATGAAACACAAAGTACAAACTCTGATTATTCTACAGTAATTTTCTTGAGAGGACTTCATCAGTTCTCTCTTAATGTGGAGAAATTAAGGGAGCCATACAGGTCTTTCTGCCCAATATATTGATTAAAGACAGCCATGTCTGTCTTCTCTGGAGATGTTCATCTGGGAAACTAGAAAGAAATGTAAATTTTCAGCAAGGCTTTTCAGAGCCAGATGCTCCAGAATTTAAATCTCAGTTCTGGCACAGCCTCTATTATTTGCGTCAAATTGCATTGTGCCTTAGTTTCCCCAACAGAAGAAATACAGCAAAGTTAGTGTACCTTATACCCTACGTAAAAAGGCAAGACATACTAAGATATAGCCCTGTTCTCTAGAACCATGCATGGAAATTATTTCAAGGTGTTTAGGAATAGAGTGGATTTTAAACATGCATGAAGGAACATGTGGCCCGACAAGCTGGAATTTCAGAGCTCATCCATGCCAGATAAAAATGAAGTAAAAAAGCAAGCTGCAGCATGAGTAGATATGGAAATTAAAAACAAAACAAAACAAAACAAAAAAACAAAACACAAGAGATTTTGTATTTGATCAGCTAATATATGATGTCAAGGCTCTGTTGGAAATAACAGGACTGGAAATTTGTTGTTTTGATACATCTTGCCAGGAGTCCAATATAATGTGATGCTGGGCACTGGTTTATCCTCAGTAGCGGCCAGGGAAGATGACAGGAAAGGACAGGACCAACAGCCTAGTGACAGAGGTAAAGGGAGGGGGAGTGTCCTGCACAATGGAATTCCAAAGGAGGGATGTATAAACATGGTTGACTTTCATTCACGCCATCCGAAAACAGTTTAAGGCAATAATCTGCCAAGTTTGGTGGCAAAGATCAGGAGGCAGAGCTAGAGATTGTTTTGGCTATACAGAAATTGTGTGTAGAGGGGGAAGGGGACTGCTAATACTGCTCATGTAGCTGCAAGGGCAAACTTACCATTGCTTTAAACTATAACAAGAAACTAAACGTGAGATGGATTGAAGGAAGTTCTAATCATAAATGTTGCACAGAACTAAAAGAATAGCATTAAGGATACTAGTGAATCTTTGCTATCTGTTGGAAGAAAGGGGCTGTTTCCTTCTTTTAATTTTGCCATCGATATAGGATCCTACATTCACTTTGGAGGATATTTCAAATTTCTGACTGGATTTTCTGTGTGTTTTGGTCTTTAAAGCAGATGCAACCAAACAGTACAGAAGGTTTAATTTCTTAGGGTTGCTTCATGCTCCTTAGTTCACATTGTTGAAGTACACAGCATTTCATCATTGTTCTCAAGTGAGGTGATAGAGGCATGAATGGAGTCATGGTGGTACTCTTTGGTAGCAGAACAATGAAGCACCATGATCTCCCAATTTCTTATCATGTGATTTAACCACTAGGTCATTTTTTCTGGGAGGTAAAAACCTTTCTTTAATGCCAAATCTGCACCCTTAATTTTCAAGTGGCAGAGATTTCAGGATGTAAAGAAGAGCGTAACAAAACAGGCCAACCAGTATGCTTTTGCTGTCATGGTAAATGCTAAAAGGAGGAATCTTCACCCATTCTTAAACACAGGTTTAATTCTTTTCTGATTAGTATTCATACAGCATCAAATGGGTCTTCATAAATGAGAAGAAGAGTGAATAAACAGCGCATTTGTTTAGGGCAAAGATCAGAGGGGAAAGCAGTGCTGAAGATGCCTGGGAAGCGTTTGTGTATGGTGCGGTGTGGCAAGGCTTCCATGGAGACAGGCAAACAGTCCACATTCATTTTAAAGTCTTTGTACTGAGGATAATGGGCAGCTC